CTACAACCACTACGGCTACTACTACTGAGGCTACCACTACCATTACTACCACTGCTTCTACTTCGTCTTCTTCTCATACTATTACTACTGCCACTACAACGAGTGCCGCGACTGCGACTCGTACTACTACTACGATTGCTACCACTACTACTACTACTACTACTACTACTACTACTACTACTACTACTACTACGACTACTACTACTACTACGATTACTAGTACTACTGCAGATACTACACCTACTACCACTACTACTATTACTACTACCACTACCACTACTACTACTACTACTACTACTACTACTACTACTACCACTACTACCACTACTACTACTACTACTACTACGACTATTCCTGCTGCTACTACCATTACGACTACGACGACTACTACCACCGCTACGAGTATTGCCACGACTACTACTGATACGACCAACACCACCACCGCCACCACCACTACTAGTACTACTACTACTACTACTACTACTACTGCTACTACGACTACGATTACAACTGCTCCTGCTACTCCTACTGCTACGACTACTAAAAATATAACTTCTACCATTCGCACTGCAATTCAACCACTCCGACTACTACTACCACCACTACTACGACTACTACTACTACGACTACTATTACTGATACTACTACTACTCCTACTAGGACTACCACTATGACTACTACTACGACTACCACTGCGACCGCGACTACTACTACTACTCGCACGACTACGACTCCCACTACTACTACTACTATTACTACTACTACTACTACTACTACTACTACTACTACTACTACTACTACTACTAGTACTACTACTAGTACTAGCACTACTACTACTACTACTACTACTACTACTACTACGACTAGGACTACTACTACTCGTACTACTACCACTGCATCTACTACTACTATTACTACTACTATTACTACCACCACTACGACGACTACTACTACTACTACTACTATTACTTCTACAGCTAGTTGGACGACTACAAATACTAGCAATACTACTAACACTTCCACTACTACTGCCACTGCTACCACCACTACTACCACTACTCCTTACTACAACCACGATTGCTGCGACTAGAATTGCTACTGGTGTTTCCTCGAATATTCCTACTACGACTTCTACTTTTACTATAATTCGTACCAGTTCTACGACTACTACTACTACTACTACTACTACTACTACTACTACTACTACTACCACTGCCACCACGACTACTACTACTACTACTACTACTACTACTACTACTACTACTACGACGACGACGACGACGACGACGACGACGACGACGACGACTGCTATTATTACTACTACCACTACTACTACTACCACTACTACTACTACTACTACTACTACTATTACTACAACTACTACTACTACTACTACTACTACTACTACTACTACTACTACTACTACTACTACTACGGCTACTACGGCTACTGCGACGACCACCAATGCCACTAACATTACCACTACTACTTCACTTTTGAAGCTACTACGGCTTCTGCGATCCACCACTGCCACTTGCATTACCACCACTAATTCTACTACGACGACTGCTATTACTAGTACTAGCACCACTACTCCTACCACCACTCCTTACAACTACTACTACGAGTACAACGACGACTGCTACTACGATTAATTCCAGTACGCATTGGGCAAGCTCGAACGATAGCACGGCGGAGGACGGCGAGCTGGTCCAAAGCGATCACGTTCGTAGTCGGGCTAGCTCCGTCCTTCGCGAAACGCAACGACGCGACCCGACGCGTCGCGTCGAAGTCGCGTCGCTACGCTTCCCCGGGGGCCGCCGCGCGGAGGCGAGACGGAGATGCTGGCATTCTCCCGCCGCCTCGCGGAGTACCTGTGCTTGGACCCGTTGTTCCAGAGATCCCTCTGGTTCTTCGCGCGCGTCCGCCTGGCCGCTGGCTGCGGGAACCCCCAGCGGCGCCCTGGAAGGGCGGCCGAACCGTTCGGCCTGCCCACCCGGGGCGCCCCGCTCGAGCACGCCCGCGCCCGAATCCGCAACCGCTCGAGGCGAGTGCCTGCAGGCGAATTGCGAGTCGAGGCGCCGCTGCTCGAGTGGACAGCCCTAGAAGAGCGGGTCGACACGATGCGCGCCACCCCGCCACCCGCCCAGCGTGCATCTCCCGCAGTACGGGCTGTGCTTGTGGACCAGACACTTCGCGAGGAGCGCAATGACGCCGTCCTTGTAGATCTCCATCTATCGGTTGGGCGCTGTCGCCCGGACGAGCGCGTCGTAAATGCTCGGGGCATCATCGGGGATCGGCGGCCCCAAAACCTCATCGTCGGTCCTCTCCGCGTCCGCGTCGAACCAGTCGCGCGGCGGCGGCGGCGGAGCGCTCGGCGATGGCGGCCGCGGTCGGGGCATGCGAGTTCGGAGCTGAGCTGCGAGCAGTGCGAGGGCGCTCCATCTTCAAGTAGTACCCCAAGCCCTGCGATCCCAGTTTGAAGACATACCCGCACCGT